GCAAGATCCCTGCAGGGTGTCCTCCTTCAGCACAGCTGTGATTTACTCCCTAACCATTAACGCAACTACCCTACTTCTTCTGCTTCCTCGTCTGTTTCGTCTAAAACATCAATATCCCGGAACATTAATCCTGCCAATCCTGTTCCTCTTTCAACTATGTCTCTCTGATAGCAACAACATCTCAAATGCATGCATTAATCCAGGTCTAAGTTCATCTGTCTTACTTGTTATACTTCTTTCACTGAAGAAAATACAGTCCAAGCTTCCAGTTCAATTGGGCTCAGCAACCTCGCCTTGACTATTCTTCCTCTTAGCCTTAATCTAAAACTCTTCCCCAGTCTCTATTCTTACTGACCTGCTGCTCCATTTTGCACCCCCCACCCCCGCCACACTAGTTTAAACTACCCGAGTGGCACTATCAAACCTTCCTGCCAGGATATTGGTACCCCTCCAGTTTAGATGCAACTTGTCCTTCTTGTACAGGTCCCACCTTCCCTGGAAGACATCCCAATGATCCACATATCTGAAGCCCTCTCCCCTACACCAGCTCTTTAGCCATGTGTTCAATTGTACTCTTTTGTTGTTCCTAGCCTAAGCAGCACATGGCATGGGGAGCAATCCTGCTTTTTAGTTTACTTCCTAACTCTCTGAATTGTCGTTACAGGACATTGTCACTCTTCCCACCTATGTCATATCTGCCAATCTGGACAATGACTTTTGTCTGTTTACCTTCCAGTTTCAGGACTTCATTCAGATGTACATAAGAGGACAACTGTACTAATACAACAGCATTTTTCAGAGTAAACAGTAGTCTAGGCTTTGCAGACGATTGCATATATGTCTCTTGTTCCTCTAAGCTTAGCAAATGTTTTAATGTACTAACTCCTTAAGACAAATTATTGCTTTACAGAAGCTTCATAACATCTCTAGAGATGAACAATCATAATTCTTCCCTCCGCCTACACCCAACACATCTTACAGAAAATTCTTTGCAGTGCAAAGCCTAAATTACCTGTAACACCAACAGTGTTTCTTTGTATGGATGCTTCTTATCTGATCAGTATTTGTAGAATTTTCTATTTTAATTTGCTAATAAGCTTATTTTACTTCTGTTAATTCCCACAACTTGGATGAAAAAAAACTCAAAAAGGTCCCCACTTGGCTAGAAAATCCACTGTGCCATGATCAGCAACTGTCCTGCTTTTTTTTTTTAAACTGGGTGTTCAACCAGAGGAAGCATCACTGCCAAGCCGGAGCCAGCTTTCAGCTGCAAATGTGACTTGACAAGAAGTCACTAAGTGCAACCTGGCATAGTTACCATAACCGACTGGTGCCAGTTATAAAATTATAGAATGTTGCGGCACAAAAACAGGACAGACAACACATCAAATCCATGCCTCCACAAGAAACACCTAGTTTCATTCCCAATTCTGTCTCACTCCCCATACGGTCTGACATTTCTATTTTGCAAGCAAACTACAATTTGGGGTTAAATTATAAACTGTTTCAATGAGTGGTGATACTGTCCATATTTACTATCCTTTGCATGAAATTATTACTTACATCATTCAAGGGCTCATACAAGGCTCTGCAGCATTTCAGTCTTTTGAGCATGCTATAGGAATGCACATTGTTGCGGCAACAAAAATTAAGCATGTAGTCAGCACGACGTGGCTCTACAGCATTAGAGAAAATAAGGTGTAGCAATTAAAAAAAACCTTAAAAGCTGCCTATAGTTGCTGAAAATTAACTACCTTTTACCCCCAAAGTCTGGCAGGGACAGAAAATCCGACATATGATATTTAAGTGAGAAAGCATCAGTTGACGATGCTTACAAGGAATTTGGTTCAAAATTTGTACTCACTTCATCTGACAGCTAACGTTAGAGTGCTGAGGTGACTAAACTCAAAACAGCATGACTCAAAATAAAATCCTACTGCATGATCCAAATGAATACTAAAATGGAAGTTAAGTTAATAAAACAAAATAAAAAAAGCTATTAATTAGTCATTTAAAACCCATGTCAAGTACTGCTTATAAACTGTTGATAATTAACTGTGCTTTGGATACAATAATAAAATCATAGCCTGTTTTACAGCATTCAAGCTGAAATAAGACCACCATATAGTCATAGGGTTGTACAGCATGAAAACAGACTCCTTGGTCCAACTCATTCATGGCAATCAGATATCCTCAATTAATCTAGTCCCATTTGCCAGCATTTGGCCCATATCCCTCTAAACCCTTCTTATTCATATACACATCTAGATGCCTCTTAAATGTTGTAATTGTACCAGGCTCCACCATTTCTTCTGGCAGCTCATTCTATACACACACCATGCGCTGTGTAAGAGAGTTGCCCCTTAGGTCCCTTTTAAATCTTTCCCCCTCACCTTAAACCCACGCCCTCTAGTTTTGGACTCCCCTACCCTGGGGAAAAAGATATTGGTTATTCACCCTAAATCTCTCTCAATTTTGTAAACCTCTATAAGGTCACTCCTGAGCCTCTGACACTCTAGGGAAAATAGCCCCAGTCTATTCAGCTTTTCCCTATACACAAACCCTCCAACCCTGGTAACATCCTTGTACATCTTTTCTGAACTCTTTCAAGTCTCACATCATCCTTCTTATAGCAGGGAGACCAGAACTGAATGCAGTAATCCAAAAGTGACCTAACTGATGTCCTGTACAGCCGCAACATGACCTCCCAATTCCCGTATTCAATGCACTGACCAATAAAGGTGAGCTTACCAAACACCTTCACTTTCCGGTCTACCTGGGACTCTACTTTCAAGGAACTATGAACTTGCAACCCAAGGTCTATTGGTTCAGCAACACTCTCCAGGACCTTATCATTAAGCGTATAAGTCCTGGCCTGATTTGCCTTTCCAAAATGAAGCACCTCACGTTTATCTAAAGTAAACTCCATCTACCAATCCTCAGCCCACCGGCCCACCTGATCAATGTCCCATTGTAATCCGAGGTTACCTTCTTGGCTATCCACTACACCACCAATTTTGGTGTCATCTGCAAACTTACCAGCCATGCCTCCTATGTTCACATTCCATTCATTATTCAGAACCTGTCTATAAGAGGTTAATAAAAGCTGTATTACTGAATCCATTTACTTTATGCCTCACTTGGATTTTCATCGCAAGTTTCATGCATAACCTAATTTCTTAAAAATGCAAAAAAAACTGCTGTTCTGACATTGCTGAATAAGTAATCTCAATAAACAGATGTACGCATAGAATGTTAGGCCCTTGCTCTTCTCATTTTCAAACATAAATGAAGAACGTATGTCTTCAATTTTCCATGCAAAATATAAACCAATCATAAGTTAAACAATCAGTAATTTCCATCCCTTGCATTACTTCACAAAAAAGTGAAAAAGGTTTTGTAAAAAAGAACAAAAAGGGTGAGAAAAATTTAAAAGCAAGGAAAACAGTTAGGGTCAGAATCAAAAGTATGCTGGAAGGATTTTGTTTCAGTCTGCAAAGAAAGCATGAGGGAGAAATTTGGAGAAAGCATTTCCAACAGATAGATATAATAGTTAAAAAGCAAGTCACCAGCTCAGAGTAGAGGTTAAACACAGGTATAGCCAATGAGTTCACTGAAGTGGGACAGGGAGAGGTTGGGAAGAATCTTAAAATTCATTTGTTAGGATACAGATGGCCACAGACACACTTCTAAGATATAACATCACCAGTCTATGGCAACGTTTATTAAAATGTTATTTCTTCTTCCACACACAGATACTGATCAAAAAGGTATCTCACTTCCAAGTTTTTACAGAGATCATTCAAGTTAACAACTAGAAAACTGATGAACAACTTTGTCTCCATTCTTTTACTGTGACAAAACATTTAGAATGAGATTAGGCAATGTAAGTTTTAAAGATCAAAGCAATGAGCAGAAAAAGAGGATGTAAATTCACATTTTAACTTTTAACAGCATAACAGGATAAACTGTTTGTAAATTAGTTATTAAAATGAAACCAATATAGGTCAGGGGTTCACATAAGATATACCAATTTAACCTTCTCATTAGTACTTAATTTAGATCCTACTTGGGGATTAATGTTACACATTCTCTTTTCATTGATTTTTCCCAACTTCCCAGACTAGCTCATTTACAAAGTTTTTTTTGTCAAAAAGTACTTACCACTTCTATATGCTCTTTATAGGTTCCCTCACACAGGAACTTGGATAAATCAATATTTAATGTTTACTACTCTATATATCAGTATTAATGGTTAGAATAAGTAAGGAACACCTTTGCTTTATTTTCTAAAATGTATTTTCAGCCTGTATGAAACCATGATTGTGCTAGGAAGTAAATAAAAAGATGCTTTTCAGAAAATCCCATTAACCTAGATAAATTGGGAAGCATGATATTGATGATTCTACTGCTAACAAGGCCAATCACTTTATGGAGATGCTTCAAAATTTAAACACAACCATTCTCAAACAATTGTGCTAATTACCTGCATGAAATCTGCTTGAGAGGTGTACACAGGGAGTTGAGCCTTTAGTGACAAAATGAACCCACCTCCTTCTCCAGAAATCTAGTTCATAATTGTATCAATTTAATTAGTAAAGATATCAATTTAAACAGAGGATGACAAGGAGGTCAAATTCAATTTCTCATAATGAGGGAACAAAGTTTTTGGCTTTTTTTTTGTTGATGCTTCCATGGAGTGGAGAACGTCTGAAGTAAAAGATAAGTCAGCCTCGCAAACAAAAAAAACTTTGAATTTATCAAATACAAAATTATATATGCAAAAAGCATGGATAAGTAGTTTTGAAATTTTATATCAACAGAAACTCGACAGAAGATTCCCTTCAACAGTGCTGTGGAAAATATTGCAATTAGGGGCTTCAATTTCAGGTCTTAACTTTTAGCAAATGGAACTAGTTCATATAGGGTAACTATATTCAGTCTGGCACGGTCTTACGATTTATTTATTGACTGGGTGGATTAACAATAGAATTCCTTACCAAACCACTTGAAATAGGAAATGCATGTTTTGTAAGACTTTCAAACATGGATTTTCTGCTGCGACCTTCCTGTTTAAGTGCAAACCTCAGGTTGCGCATATCCTGTAAAAATAAAAAGTAGCTGAGTATGCAATAGGTACACAAGACCCTTTTCATTGGTGATAGAACAACATTACTTATTCCGTCCTGCTCTTGAAAGTTGTAAAGATACATACAAGTTACTTTTCAAGGGTTGAAACATAGATTTGCAAAACAAAAAAATCCCATAACTTTTGTCCCATATTAGACCACACATAACAAGTATCGGATAACATATGGCTAGAAATCGAGTAATAAATACAATGACTGTTATTTAGTAGGATTACACAACAGAATGCCTAATTGTGGAAAGGAAATGGAAGAGGAAATCTGTAGACAGATCAGGGAGTTCAGTAGGATCAAAATGACTGTTAAATGGGATTTTAATTACCTAATCATTAATTTCTCCACCACCCAATCAATTAGAGCTAACAAACTGAATTCTTAAAATATGTCCAGGATTCCTCCTATAAAATTGGTGTTCATTTACCAACAAGAGAGGCTGCATTGTTATTTGCATACGTATTTGGAGAGCCAGTGCAGACACAATGAGCTGAATGGCCTCCTCTTGCACTGTAACACTTCTGATTTTGTGATCTTCTTACATCGAAAGGCGGGTTGTGGACAAAATGCTTCAGTATCTCACTAATCCAACCCCAGCAAGACTTCTGGGGTGTTGAAATTCTGCCAAAAGATACCAGATTGCTTTACAGCCGAATTTAGCGAATTAGTAAACAAGTAAAAACAAGGGGAAAATAAGAATTGGCACATCAGACTGTTTAAGACTGTTTAAGTAATTGGCTATCTGCTCCAATAACTCCTAACATGATCCAATGTTCGACTATTTCAGAACAACCTAGTGAAGCAGGGATATTTTGTTACGTTAAATCAATGATTTGGAAAATGATTGCAGCATAGAAGGTGGTCATGCCACGTTCTTGCCAACATTAGCAGGAGCAATTCAGTTAATCTGACTCCCCTGCCCTTTCACCATAATTCTACAATTGTTTACTCTTTAATTGTATATCTAATTTTTGTAAACCCCCTTTGTAACTGCTTCCATTAAATGTTAACTGCCTCATTCTCCATACCATAATCATACGCCATTTAAAAAAAGTTTCTTCATATTACCCCTGGTTCTTTGACCAATCTCCTGAAATTGTTGCCCTATGTTTTATAATCCGTCGTAAATGGGAATAGTTTCACCATAGTTTAATCCACCTAGACCCCTTGTGATCTTGAGGACCTCTAGCAAACCTTCTCAAGAGCAAACACATCTTTGACAATCTATCCACGTGAACTGAAACCCCCATTACAGTAACCATTCTCAGAAATCTTTTCTCTCTCTCATCTCACCTACTCTCCCTGACACTGGACAATGCAGCTAAAAATGTTGGGTTCCACAAAGAATTGGTCTTACAGGGCTACAGTTAAAATACTGGTAGTAGCGGAATGAGGCCCTGAAGTAGTCATTAATTGGTCTCCCTCACACTTTCCCATTTTCCTTAATTCCCCTGGAGTCCAAAAGTATATTCCAGTCCGGCACATACTTAATAAGTTATTACTCTAGAAGTCTGAGAATTCAAAAAGTTCACAATTTTTCAAATAAAGAAATTTCTCCTCAGTTTAATCATAAATGATCTCACCCAGAAAACTAGTCCCTGGTTCTTTAGCCAAGGGAAAAAACCTCACAGCATTTACCCCATCAAGGCTCTCAGAATCTTAAAATTTCAGTGAGATCACCCATCACTTTTTTCAATTCTGGAGCCCATATACTCTACCCCACCTCTCATTATACAGCAACCCTCTCATCACAGGGTTCAATCTTTCTCCAAGTTAGCAATATCCTTGTATAGAAAAGGAAGCCCAAATTGCAGTCAAGCACACAGTCTCACCAAAGCTCTGTACAGTTGTAGCAAGAGTTATTTACTCTTGTGCTCCAATGCCTCTGCAATGAAGGTTAAGATACCATTTACCTTCCAAATTGCTTACTATATCTGTATTCTAATTATGATTTTGTACAAGGTTACCTAAATCTTCCTGAACATTAACATTTAAATGATTTGGATTATTAAAAAACAAAGTCCTCAATTTCAACTCTTCCTACTAAAGCTTTCTTTATTGTTTGATGGGTTGATTGTTAAAAGGCTGCCCATCTCTAACTGCCCTTGAACTGAATAACTTATAGGCCATTTCAGAGATTAGTTAAAAGTCAACATATTGCTGCGGGATCTAGAGTCTCATGCAGGTCAGACCAGGAAAGGACAGCTGAAGTCTTTCCCTGAGGGATATGAGTGAACCAGGTGAGTTTTTATGACAATTGATTATAGTCTTGTAGTGCCGTTTCTGAAACTAGCTTCAATTCTCCCCATGTCTGCGTGGGTTTCCTCCGGGTACTCCAGTTTCCTCCCACAGTCCAAAGATGTGCAGGTTAGATGGATTGGCCATGCTAAATTGCCCATACTGTCCAGAGATTTGTAGCTTAGGTGGGTTATAGGGGGATGGATCTGAATGGGATGCTCCAAGGGTCGGTGTGGACTTGTTGGGCCAAAGGGCCTGGTTCCACATTGTAGGGATTCTATAATTGAATTCAAGATTTATTAACTGAATTTAAATTCCACCAGATGTTAGGGCCGGTTTTGAACCCGTCCCCAGTGCATTCACCTGGGCCCTGGATTACTGATGCAGTAATATTACTATTATGCCAATATCCCCCCATAACCTCTCATTTCCCATATAATAACTCATCTACCATTTGTTTTTAGATATTAGACTGTTATATGCTGTTATTAGACTGATAAATGGACTGTCTAACTTCAAATAATGCTGATCTTGTTAATGTTGAACTTGCCTCACGCACATCCTGTTTGGTGTAACCTGTATGCCTTACTCTGTCCGAGATTTTTCACCCGATGATCTGTACGCCCTTGCTTACTATGATCTGCTCGCAAGCAAATTTTTTCACAGTACTCAGGTACACGTGACAATAAATCAAATCTTTAAGAACACAGAAGTAGAGAAGAAAAAATATAAGAACAGGAGCAAGGTAGACCACATTGCTCCCACATTTGCCATTCAACAAAATAACTGCTGACATTGTGCTGTTTTACAGTTTGTAGGTCAGTAAACCTTTAAGACACAAACTCATGTTATCATGACTATCACATGATGTGACCTGAGTGTGTAAAGCTCTCCACCTTCCATCTTAATTCAGGCCACCTGAAGCATGGCACACCAATGGAAGCATGTTACTCTTTGTATTCAAATAGTTTAACATCAGCCCAGACACCATGAATGCAATATTTGCACATATTAGTTACAGCTGTAATAAACGTCCGTTGGATCTTTCGATATGCACGGCCAAGTTTATGTTATGAGGGAACATCGGGGAAAGATATCCTGCTGAAGGCAAAACCGTCACTTGAGCTTCAATCAACACAATGTGGAGCTGGAGGAACACAGCAGGTCAGGCAGTATCAGAGGAGTAGGAAAGTTGACTTTTTGGGTCCCGACCCAAAACGTCGACTTTCCTACTCCTCTGTTGCTGCCTGGCCTGCTGTATTCCTCCAGCTCCACGCTGTGTTGACTCTGACTCCAGGATCTGCAGTTCTTCCTATCTCCACTTGATCTTCTATGTGACCTCACTTTCTTGCCCACTCCCCAAAATCCTCAAATCCCTGAAAACCAAACATCTATCACAATCTTCAATATAGATAATAATGAAGCATCCATAACTTTGTGGCAGAGCATTTTAAATATTCATATCAATCAGAGAAAAGGTTTCTTCTAGGACTATGTCCCTGTGTTCTAGATTCCCCAGTCAGAGGAGACAACCTCTCAGTATTTACTCAGTAACTGTGTCCTTCAATGAGATCACCTCTCGTTCTCCTTAAACCAGGGAGTATAGACCCAATTTACCCAGCCTCAAATCATTCCTGGAATCAAGCCACACAACATTCATAATACTGAATCCAAAGCAACTAATTCCTCCCTAAAATAGAGACACCAAAACTGTACATAGTTGTGGTCTCAAAGCTCTACATAACTGTAAAGTGTCTCTTACTGTTTACTTTCTCACTTAGCTTTAAATTAGTAGAAAACATGGATATATTATTCTTAATCTCTTTACCAAACTATCTGCAATTAGCCTATACTCCTGCACTGACCCTTACACCAGCCTACTAGTTACAGACCAACTTAAAAACGTCCCATTTATCCCTACACTCTGCTTCCTGCCCATTATTCTATCTTTTATCCATGCAAATATATTACCCAGCCTATGAGCACTTAGTTTATGTAACAATTCTTGCATCTTTTTGAGTATCTTTTGAAAATCCAAGTGCATTTCTTCTACTGGTTCCTCTTTATTTACCTTGCCGATTACATTATCAAAAAGTGGTATAAATTTGCCAAACATGATTTGCCTTTCTCAAAACCATGTTGACTTGGTCTGATCATACTATGATTTTTGTAACTGCAATATCTTAGTTGTCAGGTCAATCGTTCGCTCTCTCTCTCTCTCTCTCTCTCTCTCCTTTCCGCTTAAGCACTATTACATTTGTTACTGAGAATACTGAGAGGCCTGGATAGAGTGCACATGGAGAAGATGTTTCCACTAGTAGCAAAGACCAGGACCCGAGAGCACAGCCTCAGAGTGAAGGTACGACCCACTAGAACGGAGATGAGGAGGAATTACTTTAGGATTCAAAAGGATGGTGAATCTGTGGAACTCATTGCTGCAGATGGCTGTGGAAGTCAAGTCATTAGAGTACATTTAAGACAGGGATAGATAGATCTTGATTAGTAAGGGGAACAAGGATTACAAGAAGAAGGCAGGAAATGGGGTGAGAAACACATCAGCCATGATTGAATGACAGAGCAGACTCAATGGGCCAAATGGCCTAATTCTGCTCCTGTATCTTATGATTACTGGGATTGCTGCAGAATTTAAGAAATTTTGAAAGGTCATAACCAATGGAACAATTAATCTCTGCAGCCACCTTTTTCGAACCCTAAGGTGCAGG